GAGCTCAGGCTGCTTACATATCTGTGGATAGACAACAAGCCTGAGTGCAAAATAGCATACAAGATGCCTGATTATGTTTTTGCAGTATAGTCCAATATCACAGGGGTAACAGGCAATTGAAGAGTCTGTATAAGCAATCATCCTAATATTTAACTGATTGCTCTAGTGGGATCTGATCCCACGGGAAAATCCATTTTAGGAGACACTTAAACAGCCAAAACCTTCTGGTAAATGGCTCATCTTTATATACATGAATTAAAATTAAACTAACTGTGAGACTTTTGCTGTTGGCTTAGCTAAAAAAAAATACAATTTCAAAACAAGAAGGAGCATAGATTTGTCTAGATTTGTCTTATAAAATGTTCTGCTACTTAGTTTTTGTCGTATTATTGAGGGAAAAGTCACTGGAAGGGAGATAATAATAATAATAGAACTTTATTGATCTCACACTGGAGAAATTTACCTCTGCATTTAACCCATCCCCTTGCAGAGCACTGGGCTCCCATTGTGTGGCACAGGGGGAGCAAAGTGGGGTTAAGGGTCTTGCTCAAAGACCCAGAGTGGAGGCTGTGTAGATCGACCAGGTCCCACAAGGCCATCACCTCCCCTAGATAGTGGCTCTTGATTAACTTAGACTTATATACAGATTGTTTGGAAGGAGAATACTTAGCATATGGAATTGAGTTTTTTTTAACACTGCGAGGTTATAACTGTTTGTTACAAATTGATAGGCAAACAGTTTGTGTGTGAATGGTTCATGCTCAGGCACATGTAGAAGGGAGGGGTGGGGGTGCTGGAGCAACTGCCCCTGTGCTCCTTGCTCAAAAGTACCTTTTGTTTGAAAAAAAACAAAATTATGATTTCTCTGATTCCAATGAAAACATGCTTGATAAAATGTTATTTGTGATGTTGTTTTATAAAATGCTAGTCATGACAATGTCTTTCAGTCACCTCGTTACTTTTGAAGACAATGATAATAATTCCACATGCATTGAACAAGAGAAAGAGACATGGCTGATGGAGGCTGTAATACTTCAGTTTGTACATATTCTAAAATAGTTGTAAGTATATGAATGCAAACTACAGAATAAAGAGATGGTTAAATCAAGCAAACAAGAAAAATAAAATATAAACTGAGACAAATGGTGTTCTCAACCACTTTGTTACAGTCATTAAACCAATAAGTGAGAGGAATCATGAGATGGTGCATCTTTGTTAGATGGCATATTTTGTGTCTGAGCTGAGAGTGGCTAAAACACTGGACACACAGGCAGGAGATGAAAAAGAAGAGACCACACTGACAGGAGAAGACAGGTGATCTAATCATTCAGTTTTTGTTTTTTTTTTGTTTCAGATATTAGTTTTATTCCATAAGCTAGATGCATGCTGGCTAAAGAATCCTTTTCCATTTAGCATTAATAGGAACTTGGAGCTCATATTAAGATAAAGTCAGAGAAACTCATTCTCTCTCAAATGATTTATGTTCTGCTTTTTTACTGAAGGATCATTTTTATTTATATAAAACTGATGTTCCATAAAAATAAAAATAAAAAGCCTTGGATTATCATTCATAATGTTTTGCTTTGCTGAAAGATGCAAAAGATGGGTTAAGAGGGGTTTCCTATACAAATTGCTTAGAGTGAGACAACAGACTAGAGAGTGAGAAATGCTAGAAAAATGCTAAATTTTTTATAGTTATTATGTAGCTGTAAGGTAGAGGTGTTATGTCAAAATTTACAAGCAATAAGATTAAGAAGTATTGCAGTTAAAAGCAGTTAAAGTGATAGCTAATTTTGTTCTTCCAGATAGACAGAATGAAAACAATGGATCAGACAGATATCACAAAAAACACAACTACAGAGGATAACAGAGTAAATAAGTCAATAAGGAAAGAAGAGGAAAAAAAACTAAGGAAAAAAACAACAATGAAATGAGAGAATGTATATTGGTACAAAGGAAATATCCAAGCATACATAAAGAGGTTTAAACAAAGCTTTACGGATGAGCACAAAAGAATTGTGCAGAATATAACTCTGATTGTGATATTTAATACACATATGTTTATTATAAACCGAACTGTTATAGATTTTTATGATTTCTGCTAATATGTTTGACTGGTTTTATGTCCCCCTTTTTTCTTTTTTAGCACCTGCCAGCTGTGAAATGTTTGCTTAAGGCTCCCACAGAGATGGGAGATATATATATATATATATATATATATATATATATATATATATATATATATATATATATTTGTATGTATATATATATATATATATATATATATATATATATATTTATATATATATATATATATATATATATGTATATATTTATATATATATATGTATATATATTTATATATATATACATATATATATATATATATATATATATATATATATATATATATATATATATATATATATATATATATATATATATATATATATATATATATATATATATATATATATATATATATATATATGTATATATATATGTATATATATATATATATATATATATATGGGGAATTTCCCCATTGTAGGACAATAAAGGATTTATATTAACATTTTTATACTAAGCCCATTTCAGCAGGAAAAAAGCCTTGAATCAAACTGCTTTATGCTGGTGAAGATTCTCATTCATCCAGGTCATAGTTATTCCAAAAAAGTTAAAAAACAATAATCTGGACTTTGTTTCCAAGTTTCAAGATGTTTAACTTCCCATCCAGGAAGCTTTTTCAATTCAAAATGTCAGGAATAGCATTGAGTTCGAGGCTATATACAGTAGCCCAAACAAGGCCTCGTTTTTGTTTAGAAAACATGCAATGCAATAATTCTAAAACATTTGCGGAGTATGCAGACTGTTTTGTGCTAACAGTAAATGAACAGCAGCACCGTGGATTCTTTTAAAACATGTAGTTTAAAGCACTACTTCTCAAGGTTAAAGGTCATTAAACAAAATAATACACATTAATGTGGAAGAGACATAAAAGCATTGCTAAAGATGGATAAAACCAACTACCCTGGTTATTGAGGCAGATTGTAAGAGCTTACATCTGTTTGTAACTAATTTTGTTGAAAAGTTTGCATATTCATTCAATATTTTGAGCCATGTGTTGACTCTGCAAGCTTTTAGTGGGACAGAAGCTGAAAAGTATGGGAATCTCTCTGGTTTGAAGCTCCAATGCAGATGTTACTTCTTGTTCTCTCCCCTCATGTCTGTCTTGGAGGAAATCCTTTTAAATATCTAAATGTTTAAACTATTGATTAAAAATCAGTTATAGTACCATTGGTGAAAATAATAAGTTTAATAATAATAAATTACTACAAAGTTTCAATAATACAACATCTATTCACTACAACAAGGGAGATATAACAGATAATAAGCTGACAAATCTCTTCTTCATAATCCATTTGACATTTTAAAAAGATTTGTGTTCTCTCAGTTCCTTCAACTGAACTATTTACACATGATTCAGCAAACTCCATGTTATTTTACAGAAGAAAATTATATATTTTTTAAAAGATTCTTAAAACTCCTTACTAAATGGGATTTTAAAAAAAATAGCTAAAACTGGATTTCAAGGATTTTTAAAGAGCACCTTATTTGAAGTACACTCCATATAAAGTCATGGTCACAGTTCCTGAAAGCCAGAGCCATTGAAGAAACCATTCCAACAAGTCTTGGCTCAGAAAAGGCTAATTATGTAAACAAACAGCTATGTTTGCTCAAACAGCCTGCAAGTTATAGTGTCAAGTTGCTTTTCAGCAGACTGTGTCCTGAGTACCGTAGCTTTTAACTGGACTTGCTCATGAACATTTTCAACCTGGGATCTCTGTGACTGCTGTCAACCACTGATAAGACACTAAAGACACATAACTAATATAACTGACCTTTCTTTAAGAGAAATAAAGCATTCCCTCAATAATTATGGATGAGCAGAACCAACGTTTAAAAATCAAATCTCGACATGAGGCTCTTGAGAGCACCCCTCATACCAGGTAATGGTTCAGCTCTGGTTAAGCTAAAACATTTGGACCTTGGTTTTAATTTCTGGTAAAAATATATGAAAGATGTAAAGATAAGTAAACATTCATTCCACATTTCTTTTATTCTTTGTAGTGTTGCAAGTGGGTGATGTCATTTTTCACTGGGAAGGAAGGTTCATTCTGGAAGGGCAGGTTTATCAACCAAACACGAATGTTTCTGGAAACTAGAGAAATTGAGAGAGAACCCATTCATTAAAAGAACGCTGTTTACATAAATGCATGGAAACCAAGCTTCCTACCTAGATTTAAATCGGGATCTTTGTGCTATAAGCCATAGACCTTCTTATATTTGTAATTTAGTCATACTGTAATTCATAAGAAGTATAGCCAACTATAAGTGTTGAAATGCTAAACTGCTCTATTGAATGTTCTGATGGGGATTGAGTTGTTTTAAACATGCTGTGAAATAATTGGTTTTATTATCTCTATTATCCTAGAGAAGCATTGTCACCATTTACCTGTTCCCACCTCTTGCACATCTTCCAGCATTATATGTTTTAGTTTTGCAATTGCAAAGAAGCAAATGTTTTGGTGGATGTCGAAACAGTTATATGGGTTGATCATGATTAATCATTAATTCCTTGGTATAATGTCTCTTCTACACTTCAAAAATGTAAAATTGTTTAAACTGTCCCTGTGTGTCCCTGTTAATGTTACAGGACCTGTTGGTCTTCTACTTTATCCTCGGATATGATTTGTTCAGTTGAAATCCCACCCAAAGGAATGCAATCAGCCTAAGACATAGGTGGCTAAAACCAAGGCACAATGGGGGTGTTACTTACTTTAACTTGAATAAAAGCAAAAGTGATAACTTTTAGAACCTAAAATCAATGGATTTTACTTACCAGGCATGTGAAAGGTTCACATCACAGCTAAATTGACAAATTAAAGAGTTATTAACCTTTAAACATAAATTAAGCCAAAAAAGCACTGTACACTAACCTGAGTGGCAATTTAATTGCAAAGTAGCGATCTATGGCGATTGCGAGCAGGCTGAAGATGGAGTTCTGTGTGAGAACCAGCACAAAGCACGCTATGAACAGGCAGCCATAGAAGTTGGAGCAGAATCCGGTGCTGATAGCGATGGCGAAAGGGATAGCCAGGACTCCCACTGCGATGTCAGCCACGGCCAGCGACACCACGAAGAAGTTGGTGATGCTCTGCAGGTTACTGTTAAGGCAAACGGCCCAGCAGACCAACACATTTCCCAGCACGGAGAACACTGCAATCAACAGCTCCAGGACAATGTAGAGGATGGAGGCAGCAAAGTCGTCCGACATGGTGATTTAAAAGGAGGGGTCACTGATGAGAAAGGAGGGAACCTCTCAAAGTCCATAGCTGCAGCCTGCCAGCCTGTGAGCCTCTTCACCTCCAGGGCTTACAGAGGCAACCAGCAGGAAAACACAAAACAGCAGGGCTGGGTTCCCGTCTGCTAAGCAGAGACAACTGAAAACAAAACTTTCACATGGGTTTGTCTCAAATCCACATAAGTGACTCCTTGAAAAAATAGCTCCTCTTCTGTCCCTTAACTCAGGGATAAGATGATTCCAGCTCCACACATCACAGGAACTAGGAATTATGCTGCGGGAGATGAAAGACGAGCAAAGATGAGAAAGAGGAAATGCTGTTACTGTAAAGGAAATACGTTTGCTTAACGGCAAAGATCTTGTTCCTGAAAATTAATTGCAAGTCTTTTTTCTTTTCAAACATTTGGTGAACATTATATTTATTTTTGTGTAAATATAGTATCTGTCTCTCTGCCTCTCTGCCTGTCTGTCTATGTATCAAATTATGAATAAAAGCATCCTTTGAGGAAAATTAAATCATATTTAAAAAACAAAAACAGAAGCAAAACTTATCAGCCTTGAACGGGTTATGGAAACTTGGGACTTCAGGAACCACAAAGAATATCATTCACATCATTAAGAGCCTAAAGGAATCACTTAAATATGTATAAAAGTGCATTGATGGCTCCATCACGAGGTCACAAATCCAGGACATCTTAAGTTAAGAGGGACTAACTGGTTTCAGCTGAGATCAGCTGCCATTAATCAACAATTAGGAAAAAATAATGTTTTTAATGCCAAACATGTTGTGGAAAGAAAATTGATTGATTTTAGACATATTTTTCTTACAAAGGGAAAACATCACTTAACAAATGAAAGGCTTATTTAATCAGGTTACTTTAAAATCCACATTTATCACAACATAAAAAGTTGAAATCCAAATGCAATTTTAACAAATATCCATAGTTTTGACACAAACATTCATTATACATAAACACATCAATCTTCATTGATGACTTTGTTGCATACCAATATGTGGGCCTTTGGATCACTGATGTTTTTGTAAAGAATAATGATAGTTTTTATAACAGAAGGAACAGCAGAGCAGGGAAAGGTTTATATTTAGTAGCAATGGACAAATCAGACATTTCACAACAGTTCACTCATTTGAAAACACTTAAAGAGAACGCTTTTTTACATGGACTTTTTTTGTTTACAGCTTTTTAAAAATGTAGAAAAACTACAAATGCTAAACCTATTGTTTGGCATTTGCATATAGATAATTTTTTGCAGGAAATGCTAGCCAAAATCATACAAACCACATCCTTAAAGCTGCAGTTCATACATATGAGTCCTGTAGCATGTACATTTGGGCATGTGAATAATAATAATAATATGATGGATGGATGGATGGATGGATGGATGGATGGATGGATGGATGGATGGATGGATGGATGGATGGATGGATGGATGGATGGATGGAAAAATTCTTCTCCATAAAATCTCTACCTAATTAATTTGACTAACAAGAATTAAACACTGACATTTAGTGTTCAAAATTGGAGAATATTGTTTCAACTTTGCTGAGTTCTAGCGGTGAGCTAATGTCCCTTGATTTAGATGAGGAAGTGATGGCAATGACAGAGAGGAAGGTGCTTCCTGTGCAAACAGAAAGGCAAAGCGTAACAAGACACTCAAGAAGTTTGCCAGCAGGAAATGATTTGCAAGGCGGAAAAATCATTAGCTTATTATTTAAATTATTGTATAAACATCAATTATAAAGGAAAATAATGAGTCTGATTCCACTTTCTCTGAGGCTTCTTTGAAAGAGTAATTTGTTAAGCTGCGTAAACCATTACAGGTTTGAGGGGATCATTTTACAGCAACTTAAAGCTGCTTTAGTTCATGCAAAGGAAGTCTTTGGTACCTTGATTCAAAGATGTTTCCTGATTCGTTATAATTCTAACCAAAAGGTAGATTTTTAGTTACAAAAGGGAACAATCAAAGAATTATAAAACAACGATGGAGTAGGACAAAAAACGAGGACAGACTTCTTTTAAACTGGAGAAATAACTTTAGACTAGTGGCTCTCAATCCGTGCCCTGTGTGTTTTAGGTGTCTTTTTGCTGCCATGCAGCTGACTTGAACTAATGAGTCTTTAACTGACTTCTGCAGCACATGATGGCTGTTGAAGATGTCATGAAATAATTTTAATCAGATGTGCTGCAACAGAGAGACATGGAAAAAATGCTGGGCATTGATCCCTGAGGATCAGGATTGAGAACCAATGCCCTAAACTTACACCATTGTGATGGAAGACATGCCTTCCCTGCCTTCTCTGAGCTATATGTATTAAGAGTTGAAAGTCTTCCTGAGGAGGGGTGCGGTGCCACACTAGTGAAAGGTTTTGAGGAAACAGCTTCTGTGTTGTGGTTTATATTTCCTGCTTCCTATAGAAACCTTAGGTTTTGTAAACTACATAGCAAAATCAAGGGTTGCAAAAGAAAATATGGTCAGAAAGGACACCTGCCTAATATGTGGAGCATTTGGATGCCATAGCAGCTCAATGTTGGACTGTTCATACCCAAGAAAATAACATTACATTCTCTGTGATAACAGAGGATCTCATTGTTTTCAGGCAAGAATTAGAGAACTCTATAAGATTGTTGATATGTTTTATGTTTTGCATTGCCATAAATTAGGATCATACTGTAGAGGGGGGAGGACCCAATCTGCCCAATATTATGGAGAGACACACTATATTGATAACAAACATCACAATGAGGATAGAGATTTTCAGTTACTCAGATTGTGAGATTTGTTTCTGCATTGGTTGTGGGTTGAGTTTGGATCGTAATTCTGACCTGGTGTGGTTCTGCCAAACATGCAGCGTCTGGTAAAGCCTGAAATGGAGAATACAGCCATCTTACGGTTTGAATCATTTCATGCTCCTGAAGAGATGCCAGACTTTATAGATACTGGACCAGAATTGTGCCCATACTTTCTGAAATTCTCCATTTAATAATTGCAATATCATTACATGACATTTGAGCAACTATAGTTTGCTAAGAGTACATGGAGTGCAACACCACAGAGGCATTGAGCTGTGCCCCAATGGACACAGTTCAGATGGTGGTGTAAAGAACACGCTTTAGGTTGGTACAGTCTGACAGCTGTTAACAGATGTTTAGCTTTTGTTACAGAGAACTTGGAGAACAAGTTTGATGCCTCGAACAGAGTCCTTATAATTCTTGAAAGTTTGTGATTTTGAAAAAAACTATTTCAAACCCCTTACAAGGTTAACATTTCACAAAGCTGACCACATCTGTCAACATGTAATTGCATTTTGTTTGCTCTGCACTGCATTCTTATGTTTCCTATTAAGTACTATAACAGCAAATGCATCAGTGTGTGCCACCTTCTCATGGGAGAACTGGTGGACTCCCAGTTATAGTTATGGAGTCGACATGCAATGCATGTCACTTTCTTCTGATGTCTTTGCATGCACAGCCAAAGAAAGCTATGCCCAGTGGTTGATCAGAAAAATTAACATACTGACATGTAAAGAGCCTGCTGTAAATCTATCAAAGTGAAGAGGATGGGCTATGCTTCACTGCACATGATGTGATTTCATAACAAAAAATGCAAGTTTGAAGTTGAAAGCAAGCAGATTATTTCTTAATCTTACTCAATCTAAAATTTGCATATTATTCACTAACATAATGAATGAGGTCAGAATGTGTGATAGTAGCTGCTAAGTTGTTGGCATTTGTAAGCTACTTATGTCGTCTCAGACATTATGGGTCAGTCAATCGGTTATTGCTTGATATTAGATATTCCAATCTGATGTTAAGCAAAAAACAAATTTTATCAGGTTGCACCTATTATCAGACGGATTATATCAGACTGCACCTAAAATCTTTCTAGATATTAGAATGCTGATAAAAACACAATGCCTACGTCTAACGTTTATGTAACCCATGGATTAATCAAAAAATGGGTCAGTTGTTCTCATACCTATTTGTGTTGACTATTTCACTCTATTTGAGTAATATTACTATATTAAACCTAACACCAAACTCTAAACTAAGTATTAGAAGAATGACTCGTGTAAAAGTGAGGAAAGCCTGAGTTCCTTTAAATCAAGAATAAAAACACATTTGTTTAGGATTGCCTTCGACTGTTCTAGTTAAACAGTTCAACTAAAACATCATTAGTTCAACTTTTTTATTTTCTTTAGTCCAACTGTTTTTAATTTTTTTTTTTGTTTCTGCATGTTTTATTTTATTTATTTTCACCTACTTGCTTTGATTCTGTTTTATCTTCCTGTATTTTAATCATGTAAAGCACTTTGCATTGTCTTTGTACTGAATTGTGCGATACAAATAAATTTGCCTTGCCTTGCCTTGCCTTGCCTTGCCTCATGCTGATATAGTATCAATATCAGTATCGGTCAGTTCTCAAAGGTGCAATATCGGTAATGTGTTGTTACAGGGATCAGTGATAGGACCAATTCTCTTTACTTTATACATGCTCCCAATTGGTAGAATTATTAGACAGCATGGGATTAATTTCCACTGTTATGCTGATGATACCCAGCTATATCTGTCTATAAATCCAGATGAAGCTAACCCATTACATAGATTACAGGCATGTCTTGAAGACATAAAAACCTGGATGACTCTTAACTTTCTGCTTCTGAATGCAGACAAAACAGAAGTTATAGTCTTTGGACCAGAGTCTCTGAAAAAGAAACTGATTAGCCAGTCACTTCATTTGGATGGGATTAAACTGATTTCAGATAATAAAGTAAAAAATCTTGGTGTTATTTTTGATCAGGACCTGTCATTTAAATCCCATATCAAAGAGGTTTCTAGAATTTCCTTCTTTCATCTGAGGAACATTGCAAAAATTAGAAATATCCTGTCCAGGGGTGATGCTGAGAAACTAGTCCATGCATTTGTTACTTCAAGGCTGGACTATTGTAATTCTTTACTATCAGGAAGTCCACAAACTGTAGTTAAAAGCCTTCAGCTGATCCAAAATGCTGCAGCCAGAGTTCTAATGAAAATGAAAAAGAGAGATCATATCTCTCCTATCCTGGCTTCTCTTCATTGGCTTCCTGTTAAATCAAGAATAGAATTTAAAATCCTCCTTCTCACATATAAAGCCTTAAATGGCCAAGCTCCATCTTATATCAGAGATCTGATTGTTCCTTATGTTCCTAACAGAGCACTTCGCTCTCAATCTGCAGGTTTACTAGTGGTTCCTAGAATTTCTAAAAGTAGAATGGGA